AAACATAAACACATGTGGGAGAAATGAGTTATACACAATCTTACTACATTGCTCTGAAGGATTAAACATGTTTGGAAATAATTAATATTATTTTAAAATTTGTTAATAAATATCATTCTTATCGACCGTAGATATCAGAAACAAAGGCAAGGAAAAGGTTTCTCCATACAAATAATACTGATTTCATTCTGGATCCTAACCTTCGAAATTCAGAACATTTCTGATATCATTCAACATCGCACATTACTGCTAGTCTAGTAGGACATGGGCTGTTCTCTGCTTAAGTGGGTACTGCACAACTCAAGGCCTTATCTCACCCTACTAAACTAGCTGCATTTCTTTCAAATTGGAGGAGTTGCTACTGATCTTAACATTAATAAACTTAAAATGGCTCAAATTCAATTCATCTCCCAATGTTGCAAAATCCATAACTATACCCTCAATCCATATGGAATTTCAAACAAATATACAATACCTGTTGGAGTAATGACAACAATGCACATCTACTATCTGCATCAGAACCCTGATCAACTGATCATAGTTAGTTACTGAGGTAGGTTATATGCAATCTAGTCTGTTACTTACATAATATCTTTACAGAAAGAATCCATGGTCACTGTACCTAGATGGTCACAAGTGTTAACATACTAAGGCCCTACATTATTCTTCAAGTGAGTCCCTTCGTGTGATGACGACTTGGAGACCATTTTCTGGTTTTAGAATCAGATCTGCTGTCAAATTTATGTCCTCTCTCTTGACAAGGGAACGCAGTTCGTAGTGACATAGGAAATAGGATAGCACCGTCTTCTCCTCCAGCAGGGCGAACTTCTGTTCTATGCATTTCCTGGGACCAGCACTGAAGGGGATGTAGGCGTAGGGGTGCCTTTTTGCTACCCTCCCCAGCAGGAAGACGTTAGGCTCAAAATTCTGGGGGTTGGGGAACTGATCAGGGTTCTGATGCAGATAGTAGATGTGCATTGTTGTCATTACTCCAGCAGGTATTGTGTATTTGTTTGAAATTCCATATGGATTGAGGGTATAGTTATGGATTTTGCAACATTGGGAGATGAATTGAATTTGAGCCATTTTAAGTTTATTAATGTTAAGATCAGTAGCAACTCCTCCAATTTGAAAGAAATGCAGCTAGTTCAGTGGGGTGAGATAAGGCCTTGAGTTGTGCAGTACTCACTTAAGCAGTGAACAGCCCATGTCCTACCAGACTAGCAGTAATGTGCGATGTTGAATGATATCAGAAATGTTCTGAATTTCGAAGGTTAGGATCCAGAATGAAATCAGTATTATTTGTATGGAGAAACCTTTTCCTTGCCTTTGTTTCTGATATCTACGGTCGATAAGAATGATATTTATTAACAAATTTTAAAATAATATTAATTATTTCCAAACATGTTTAATCCTTCAGAGCAATGTAGTAAGATTGTGTATAACTCATTTCTCCCACATGTGTTTATGTTT